GGCAGGGGGTCTCCAGCACAGGAAGGCCAAGTGCCACAGTAGACGCCGACTCAGTGTGTGTCTGTCATCCTGAAGTAGCTACGGTTAAATCCATGTCACATCCATACAGGATTCACTGCTACTTCCGTTCTCAGTTTTCTATAATATGAACTTTTCCATAATGACAGTCTTCCTGTCTGTTTTCCAGCCACATGGCCTCCTGTCCACTCAGCCACCACTGTGTCCTCGCTCACAACCACATCAGGAAGCTGGCAGTCACAAAACCAGAGCATCTGCTGAGTCAGCTATTTGGGGCAACACAGGAGCTCTCAGACAGAACCAAACCAGAGCAATAGCGCTCTCAAAGCCTCCGGGCTTGAAGACATAACAGTATCCTCTGAAATGTAATAGTATAACATAGGTTGGATTTGTTTTAACCATCAGAAAGCTTATGTTGAATTATAAAACTGTAAACCAAACTTAGTTTTGCAGGTTCTAGGTCAGTGATGGCGAACCTTTTGAGCTCAGTGTGTCAGCATTTTGAAAAACCTTAACTATGGTGCCGTGTCACATAGAGAAATTTTTTTATATTTGCAACCATAGTAAAACAAAGACTTATATTTTTGATATTTATTTTATATATTTAAATGCCATTTAACAAAGAAAACTCAACCAAAAAAATGAGTTCGTGTGTCACCTCTGACATGCACGTCATAGCTTCGCCATCACTGGCCTAGACCAATTCCCACCAGTGTGAGTTCCCCCTTGACACACAAAATTGATGGCGAAGCAGGAGTTTGGGGTTAAAGTGAAGGCAACAGGAAAAAAGCAAAAACTGCAAGCATGAAAGAAAAAACAAACAAAATAGATTTAAAGTCCAACATGTGGGTGGCTCTGTGTGCTATGTTTGGGGACGGGAACAGGGGACCAGCATTCCTAGGGTTCAGACCCTGGGGAGGAGGTGGCCCTGCTAGTTCCTTTCCCTGGGCCCAGGGACTAAAGGTGCTTCGTGTCTGTGCTTTCCTCCTTGTTTACTTAGATTTCCTCTCTTTTTATGTTGGTATTTTATTTTGGATAATTTTCCAGGCTTGGGTTTTATTTGAAATGTCACCAGTAGATCTCTCCATGCCCTTGACTTGTACCGGAACAGACACCTCACTGTGCCCTGGCCTTTATCTTAAAACAAAAGTATGTGTGCAGCTCCATTGGGGGTAGCACAGGCTTCCCATTGGTCGAATTTATAAATGACATACTGACATCAGAAATATCTGCTTTTATTATTTATGTATGTATGTATGTATGTATTTTTACAAAATGCCTTTCCTCCGATTTCATTTGTTACTTTTGTTTTGACTCCAAATCTTTTTTTTCTTTATTGATTGATTAAGGTATTACTTATGTGTCCTTATCCCACCATTGTCACCCTTCCCCCTCTCCCCCCGTCATGCCCTCACCTCCCTGATGTCTGTGTCTATTGGTTAGGCCTATATGCATGCAAGTCCTTTGGTTGATCTCTCCCCTTTACCCCCACCCTCCCCTACCTTCCCTCTGAGGTTTGACGGTCTGATGGATGCTTCTCTGTCTGTGGATCTGTTTTTGTTCATCAGTTTATGTTGTTCATTATGTTTCACGAATGAGTGAGATCATGTGATATTTATCTTTCTCTGACTGACTTATTTCACTTAGCACAATGCTCTCCAGGCCCGTCCATGCTGTTGCTTTCTCTCTCTCCGTGTCTGGTAAACACAGCACATCCTTTACCAGGGATTGACATTTACCAGACCCCTGCCTACTCCAGAGTTTATAAATTTCCATGATATTCTAGGCTTGAAATTTTAAAAAATTATATATGATTTGATTGATATTGGAGGGAGAGAAACATCGATGTGAGAGAGAAACATTGGCACGGGCAGCCTCCTGCACGCCCCTTACTGGGAAACGAGCCAGCAACCGGGCCATGTGCCCTGACCGGGAATCAAGCCAGTGACCCTTCTGTGCATGGGACGGCGCTCAATCCACTGAGCCACACCGGCCAGGCCCAGGCCCCAGATCTCTTGGTGACACTTTCCCTGAGCTGCTTAGGCCTCTGAGTCCTGCTCCCTAAGGAGGTTCCTGCTCACTATACTCTTTGTCATGGCCTGAGGGGCAGCCTCTGCAGGTTTCCCAGCTGAAGCTGTTGGGAATGTTGGATGCTTGCAGGGTGGGGTGGGGCGGTTGCGGGTGGGGGGTGCCTCTAGATGCTGTCTTTCCACAGCTGCGCGTCGTGGGCCTTGAGCAGTGCATCATCCGGCATCAACCTTCTGTTTGGAAGCTGGGGAGATGCGTCCCGTGTTTGGCCCCCTGGGTGGCCTTGTTGACATTGAATGGGTTAACCCAGTTCCTAACGTCCTTTCCTTCCTT